CTGTCCGGCTGTTGCGCTCGGCCGCCGCCCGCTCCTATGGGGTCTTCTGCAAGGGGCTGACCCGCACGCTGCTCATCTTCTTCGACCTGGCTTGGCGGCTGCGCATCAACTTCCCCTACCTGTACATCGTGGCGTCCATGATGCTCAACGTCTGCCTGCAGGTTCATATTGAGATCCACTGACCAACGGCTTCTGACCACGACCACAGCGTGCCCCCAGCATCAGGGAGCGAGCACCCAGGATGAAGGATGGCAGAGGGGTGCTCGACATCTGCCCAGCCCAGGCCGAGGGGTGGCGGGGCGCTGGCCCAGACAGACTGTTCCGAGGACACCAGGAGAGAACCCGGAAGGAGCACCCTTGCCGGGCAGACATACCTCTCTGGGCGAACCCACCTGCGTTGGATGTAAATGGAAACTCACCAATTGAGATGTTATCGCTGGAAACAACCAGCTGCTCAGCCACGCATCTGCCAAGAATCTGCGAGAAGCTCCGCCTCAGCTGTGGCTCCGAGCAAGGCCGGGGCCCTGTCCCTGCCCTTTGCTCCCACAGAAGAGCGTGGTGGGGGCGGAGACCTGCCGAGGGACTGCCCAGGGGCCACTGGCCGCCACAGAGACTCATGGTGCCTTGGAGAGCCTCCGGGGTGGGCTGCAAGCCCCCAGCCGTGGGAACTGCCAGGTCAGCAGAGACAGGATTGGCTGCAGTTAGGAAGGTGCGTGCATCTTTGATGTTCAACTGCCACTTGCTTTCCTAGGGACTGGCTCTGAGCTCGAACTGTCTCCCCGATACTCCATCCTTTGCACCCCCCTCCCAGACGACGAGACAAAAGGTGTTTTCCTTGAATGTCTAAAGTGCAGGTTGTCGGGACAGGCAGGACTGTGTCCAAGGAAACTTTCTCAAGGGTCAGAGGTGCCCCTATGGTCTGCAGGTGGCTCAAGGGCGCCCGGTTCTAGGAGGTTCTGAATGAACAAGCCTGTCTACCTTGGCGAAGGCCCCTGGTACAGAACCATCTAGAAGCAAGATGCATTTCCCAGCTGTCTCCGAATGGTTTCCTCTGCACTGCGTTTCGATATGAAGGGGCAGCCCTCAAACCCTGCTCTGCTGGTACAGTTAGGTCAACTCTAAGTCACTGGAATGTAAACTCACGAGAGCCAACGGACCTGGAAGGAGAAGTGCAAGCATATTTTAGATTGTGCTCAAGGGCCATTCGGAGTTGGGAGGCCGTTTCAGAATACTGAGAGATCCTCTCTAAATATCGATCAGAATCCTGTTTCGCATCAGAGTTCTTTCTCCAGTACCTGTTCTGAAGGGCCACCGCCCTTCACCCTGATTTTGACCATCGATTGGAAGTACTTGGACATTTGTAGACATCAGTTCTCCTAAAAGCTGCTGAGTTCATGGTGAACCGATAGATACAATGTCTACATTTCAGAGAATATTTTTGGTCTGCAGGAGAATTCGAAATTTTGCCCTCGCCCTCCCTCATTCCCCCCTCCACTTGCAACACAATTTAAATGGAGACCCTAAAGTGAAAGTTAACATATTAAATTTACCTTTACAATAATCCTCTCTCCAATTAGGAACCCTAGCAGTGTTACCTTAAACTGAGCTTGGAATAGAATTGGGTGTTGCTCCATTTACAGAGAGGCAAATCACATTTCCATTCTAAATGCTCCCAGGGCCTGAGCTCTTCTCTGACCCGCGGTTTCTCTGGGCTAATGCCTTCTGTGGAGGGCAGTTGACGTCCACCCCAGTGCACCTTCTCAAGTACCCCTGAGATGACCGATTGCTTATCTCCCCGTTTCTATCGTGTGCTGAATTACTGTGCCGTGTGCAATTTTAGTGGTTTTTGGGGGGTGGGATGGGAAAGGGAAAATAAAATCTGTTCTTTAGCAAAAAAAAAAAAAAAAAAGTATAATTAAAGAAAAACATACAGAATGTCCTTTTCTTCTCTTTTATAATAGAAATGAAGACCTAAAGCAAATGTTGGAGAGCAACAAGGATTCTGCAAAATTGGATGCAATGAAGAGAATTGTTGGGGTAGGTAAAATATGAATTCTCCAATGTTTGGACAGTGGATGAGGAGCCCTGGTTGCTCCGTGGTTAAATTGCATGGCTGCCAACTGAAATATCAGTGTTTCACACCCCCACCTGCTTAGAGGGAGAAAGATATGGCATTCTGCTTCTGTAAAGATGACAGCCTTGCGGATCCTATGAGGCAGTTCTGCTGTGTGTGTATGGAAACTATGAGTTGGAACCTAGCCACTGAGTCGATTCTGACTCATAGTGACCCTGCAGGACAGACTAGACACTCCGTCTTCCTTTCTTGTCCATTTGCATCCCTGCAGTAGAGTGAAGGAGCTCTGGGGGCGTAGTGGGCGGCTGGGCACAGGTAGGTGTTTCAAGTACATCAGCTGCTCGCTGAAAAAAAGATGATCCTTTCTTCTCCATAAAGACTCGCAGCCCAAGAAAGCCACAGGGGCTGATTTCTCAAAGGGCACATTTCACGTAGAAAAGATGGTTGTTGTTAGTTCCCATCTAGTCCGTTTGACTCAGTGTGCAGAGTAGACCTGAACCTGAAAGATGGCCACGCTATCAGTATGTTCTTCCATCATTGTGTTCTGTTGAACAGTGAGGTGGTGGGAAAATCAAAGACTCATTGTCGCTGGTAGTCTAGGGTTACACTTCGGGCTTCTACCGGCAGGGTCCGCAGCTAGAAACCACCAGCGGCTCCAGGGCAGTAAGAGGAGTCTTTCTGCTCCCGGAAGCAGCCACGCTCTTAGAAACTCACGGGGGCAGTTCCACCACGTCGTATAGGATCCATGCAGTGCCTGCATCCCTACTCGATGGCAGTTGGGTTTGACTGTACCTGTAAGTGATCCTTGCATTCAGATGTATGCTCTGTGCCAATGTCAGGGAAGTTTTGAGGATTCCTCTTTAAAAGAATCTAGCTTTTTTCCTTTTTTTAACAAATTTGTTACTGTTATCTTTCATTTGCAGTGGCATTCACGGGCATGCAGATCTTGCCTCACATAGCTCGCTTAGACACAAATTTCCTCCACCACAGGGTAGTTCAATAACACCAGTCTACCAATAACATGGTTCCGCTTTGAGTTCCCTGGCTTATTAACTGAGCAATTGCATATGGTACACACTTCACTGCCAGCTCTTTCGTGAACTGTGTAAGAAATGTACCCATCAGTGGCCAATCATGGTCAGTTTTCTCAGTGATTGTAGGTCGCAATTGCAGGCAGAAAACAGATGACAGGTACCCATTATTCCCAGTTCAGACGTTGACAGTAGAGTGTATACATGCTTTCATTTCCCAATGAGAAAGCCATGTCACCTTTTACAAAACAGAGACTTGAAAGAAGAATTTATTCAACAAAGATGAAAGTAATAAAAATGAGCAAAGAAATGCAAAGTGTTAACACTGAAAGTGAAATTCGGATCAAATGTAAACGTCGTTCTAGGAGAAATAGATGACTGTGTGCTTGTTGTCACTGCCAATATTGGAGAAACTACATAGGTCTCTGGAGAGGCTTAATGAAGAGGAACTTATTAACATCAAGAAAGGAAACAGTGCTTGGGCCAAATCCAGTAAATATCTTCCAGTTAAAAAAACAAGTGATGTCAGCAAAAACGTCACAGAGCAGGAATCCTCAGAGAGAGTTTGGAACACGGAATGTGCAAAAGATAGCATACTTGTAGCTGACCCAAACGTCAGAGGTTGCTAGCTCCAATTTACAAAAAAGATCTGCAAGGTGTTGTGTATTCTTCATTAATGTTGGTTGCTATTCCGAATGGCCCTCTTCATTACACTGATATTTTTGAATACTAATATTAGTAGAAGTTAGGACAGATTTATTTTAAGATATATACCAATATTCATTTTTCTTGTATCTTTGGATTGCTGTTGAGTGGAGCTCTGGTAATATAGTAGGTTACATGTTGGGCTGCTAACTGCAAGGTCAGCAGTTCAAAACCACCAGCTGCTCCCAAGGGAGAAAGATGGGAGTCACTCCTGTAGAGTTAGTCTTGGAAACCCACAGGGCTGTTCTTCTCTGTCCTATAGGGTCACTAGGAGTTGAAATAGACTCCTTGGCATTGAGCTTTGTATGAAATTTTATGGTGTTGAATAGTAAGGGTGGGAGGAGGTATCGCTGTCTTGTTGCTGAAAATGTGTTTGATGTTTTACTGTGTTATAATGTATCTTACAGATACCAAATAGATTGATTTCTGTTAAACTGAAGATATTGCTTTGCATCTAATTGCCACAAATTTAAAAAATTAACCACAAATTAAAAAAATTAACCGGATAATGTATTTTACTGTGTTATTAAAAACAACCCCTCAAAATCCTAATGAGTCACTTTCTTAATGCTGAACTGCCTTTTCTTAATGTAAATACTACTTGAATATATAGTTCTCTTTTATTCTTTTACTGAGCAATTGAATCTTAAAGTCATTAGGATGGGGCCCAGCAAAACAGACAGCTACATGGCCTCACAAGTATCCGAGCCTGAGTGGGTGGGGAGGACATTCATGTGAAGGGTGCTGTAGTCAAAGCAAGGAGAAGACAACCACGTGGGGGCTATTCAGGATGGGGAGTCAGAACCTAATAAAAGCAGAGGGCTTCCCTATGGGGTAGGTGTGGTAGCAGAGATGCTAGGCTAGATTTACTACAAATGAAGGGATTGATCAAGTTGGTAAATATATTAAGGATAATAGAAGTCAAATTTCTCACTAAGAAAGACCCAAACCCCAAACTAAATCCACTGCCATCAAGTTGATTCTTACCAATAGCAGCCCTACAGGGTTCCAAAGACTAAGTCTTTTTTTTTTTTTTAACATTTTATTAGGGGCTCATGCAACTGTTATCGCAATCCATACACATATCAATTGTGTAAAGTGCATTTGTACATCGTTTCTCAAAACATTTTCTCTCCACTTAAACCCCCAACATCAGGTCCTCATTTTTCCTCTTTCTCCTGCAGAGTAACTAATGGGTTTGAACCTTGGACCTTGAAATTAGCAGTCTATTGCTTACTTGAGAGTGCCACCAGGGCTCCAGATACAGAAAAAGAAATAGTTAGACCTGTGTTGTTGGATTTGAATTGGTGATATTGATATCAACTCATGTTTTTAATGACTAGGATACAGACCTAGAGCTGTATGTCTAAAACTCTTAAGGGTGTGTGTTGTAGGGGCTCCTACAACTCTTATCACCATCCATACATTCATCAATTGTTTAAAGCACATTTGTACATTCATTGCCCTCATCATTCTCAAAACATTTCCTCTCCACTTAAGCCCCTGGCATTAGGTCCTCATTTTCCCCCTCCCTTCCCGCTCGCCCCTCCCTCATGAACCCTTGATAATTTATAAATTATTATTTTGTCATATCTTGCTCTGTCCGACATCTCCCTTCACCTACTTTTCTGTTGTCCGTCCCCCAGGGAGGAGATCACATGTAGATCTTTATAATCCGTTCCCCTGTTCCAACCCACCCTCCCTCTACGCTCCCAGTGTTGTCACTCACACCACTGGTCCTGAAGGGATCATCTGCCCTGGATTCCCTGTATTTCCAGTTCCTATCTGTACCAGTGTACATCCTCTGGTCTAGCCAGACTTGCAAGGTAGAGTTCGGATCATGATAGTGGGGGCAGGGGAGTGGCGGTGGAAGAAGCATTTAGGAACTAGAGGAAAGTTGTATTTTTCATCCTTGCTACATCGCACTCTGTCTGGCTCATCTCCTCCCCAAGACCCCTCTGCAAGGGGATCTCCAGTGGCCTACAAATGGGCTTTGGGTTTCCACTCCGCACTCCCCCTCCTCATTTACTATGGTAAGATTTTTTGTTCTGATGATGCCTGATACCTGATACATTTTTACATAAACAAGGACAAGGGTAAGTCATAGTATTACTATAAAATCACAGAAAGCTTTTGCGATGTAGTGGATTACTTAATACTGCCTTTCTAGTCACTGTTTTTGTAACTCCTATTGAATGACTGTGTGTGACTTTGTAAATGTGAGATTCCTGTGGCCCGCCAAGGAGATTGGATAGCTTGCTAATGATGTAAGCAGGGTACATGATACCCATGTAAGGGTAGGACGATGCAAATAAGATGCTAGGAGGCCTCATGTTGAGATTGGTCAGTTTTTCCATCGTGCTAGGAATAAGCTGAGGCAGAGGGAAATTTCAGTGCCAACACATGAGAAGAGCTAGGAATGGGCACAGCCGTTATACCTGAGAGCCCTGCACCGAACCCCCTTGATCCACAGGATGAAACAAGCAAGAAGTAGTGCCAGCTGAGGGAGCTAAACCAGCCAGAGACAGAAAGGTGGGTTTTCCATCCTCCACAGCAGGCATCCTCAAACTACGGCCACGGGCCACATGTGGCCCACCGAGGACATTTATCTGGCCCGCCGGATGTTTTTGCCCCGTTTTGTTTTTTAATTCAAAATAAGACATGTGCATTGTGCATAGGAATTTGTTCATAGTTTTTTTAAACTATAGTCCGGCCCTCCAACGGGTCTGAGGGACAGTGAACTGTTTAAAAGTTTGAGGACCCCTGCTCCACAGCGAGAGAGCTGAGTGCCATAAATGTCTGAATTAATGTTCTCTATTTTACTTCTCTGGGTTGGAAGATCCATTGTTCCCCAGAACTCACAAAGTTCATGATCAAAGGCTTTATTAAGGAAGTTACGTTGTAATGCCAGTGAGAAATGCTCAGGGTCAAGTTGTTACAGTCTGCTAATAAATGCTCCAACATTTGTAGTAAATCTAGCCTAGCATCACACTGCTCTGAGCCTCATCCTGGAGGCATTCCGCCCAAGCTCCTTGGGTCAGCCAACCCAGCTCCCTGAATTAAGTACCCAGAGATACCCCACTCCAGTAAGACTCGGCATCACTTCTTTGGGTCAGTAAGCCCAACTTTCCCAATTAAATGCCCAGAGGCACTTAACTCCACAAATCAACCTCCTGCACAAAAGCACTCTGCTTTATTTGCCATATGGATTGGGAAGTCCATCACTC